TGTTTCGGAGACATAAGCTAACCTGCAACAACATCAAAATGTTAACAGAAATTAAGAAGGCATTGGGACTAGAAGTGTGTTAGGGAAAATGAGGGAGTGTTAGAAGGGGTTTCAAAGTTCCCCAAGGGAATTGGGATGGTTGACCAACTTCGGATTCAAACCCCCCCCCCCCGCCCCGCCTTGGATGGTACCTACACTGGGAAAGGAAAGAATACCTGCAGCAGGAAAGGTCAGAAACCAGTGAAGAAGAGACCTGGGCAGGCCAAACCCTGTGTAGACCCAGACAGAGGGGCGCCCAAGAAGGAGACCTCCGCCACCCTCTTCTGAGGACGCTGCGGTGATGCAGGGGGAAAAGTGCTCTGTCTTGCACTCAGAGAAGCTCAACTTGTGGGCTGGCTTTAGCTCAGCAGATACTTCAATCCAGGAAAAGCTCAACTTGACTCCTAGCTCTCTCTCTGATGACCTGTGCATTGTTGGACTGGATCTTCCTCGTTCACTGGGCATGATGCTGATTCTCCCAGCTGACCTCACAGAACAGTTATGTAGAAGCAAGTGAGACAGTGCACGTGAAAACACTTTACTGGCCGAACAGCCCTGGGAACCATAAGGTGTTATTACCACACCACATCTGAAAGGCTAGGAGGAAGCACGCAGGACGGTGAGCGCAAGCACCACTGCCACCTCCGCCTCCTCCAGACGCCTCCAGGTGTGCAGAACTCAGCCAGCCTGGTGAGGTCAGCAGCCTGCTCGCCAGCCTCACCACCCCAAGGCTCAGTAGTTACACTGAAGATATATGTAGCAGATTCCCACCTTTTCAAATGTATAACAGTTAGTCATTTTATAATTTTCTTCCTGGTACACTTATAATTTAATTTGGTGGTCCTGGCACAAAATATACACTCAATAAATAGGACTGAATTGAGTTGATCTTTTAATTATTTATTCTGTGGGTCTCTAGATACTTTGTGATACTTTCACTAAAAAGTATCTAAAAACAGATTTTTTAGAATGCTATCACATCCTGTTCTTTATGTCACCGTGAAGGATGTAACCACTAGTCCTTAAATAACACATTAATTTCCCCCTTCACGAGGAGATAACTTGAATTCAATGTCAATATATCAGGGCTGCATGAAATAAATATTGATGAACTTTAGCTTATCTTTAGTGAATTTTGTCTTGAAAAGGTTACTAAAAACCCTAAGTTATATCTTATGATAAATAATTAAAAAAATAACTGTCTTCTGGGAGTGGGAGGAGGGTAAATATTACCTTTTATTTTGTTTTTGGTTTGTTTTGCTTTTTCCTGTTTATATCTTCCCCAGTTTCCTCTGATAATAAAGTGGTTCACGTCCACCTCGTGAGGGAGCCACTCTCCCCCTACCTCCACTTAGCTTGGTGGAACTGCCAGTTACAGTAACGGTGGCCCTGGCCTCCAGCTGAGCTCAGCGCTCACAAGGGCTACATCACAGTGCTCATCCCCCAGCTTGGGTGGCCGACCCAGGAATGTAGATACAACCCAAGTTGGGTTAAATGAAGTAATTTATAGATGGATATTGGAATAGTAGAGTCTCTTCTTCCTCCGTGGGGCCAAGGCTGTAAACTTGGAGCTATATAAAACCGAACTCCTCCTTTTCCGCACCACATGGAGGTCTGCGTGCAGTGGGAGAAATGAGATCAAAAGAAGCAAAGCTGAGTGAGGGGGATGGACAAGGGAGGCAAGGACTGAACAGGGGTAGAGAGAGGAAGAGGGAGGAGCAGGGGAGGAGGAAAATAAGGGAATAGGAGTGAGAGAAGGGGTTATATAAATAGAGACAGAGGGAAGGTTATAGAGAAGAGGAGAAAGGGGGTAATAGAAAGAAGGGGGGAGAAAAGAGGTGAGTGGATCCGAGAGAGAGAGAGAGAGAGAAGAAAAAAGAGGGGAAAGAAGTACTGAGGACAGCTACGGCATATAAATATATTATAGACAAAGTGAAATGTTTCAGCATTGTCATGTTGGCTTACTTGTTAAACCCCAAAGAATTTCCAGAGAGTACTATATTTTGTGATTGAGAAAATAACGTACTCTTCTAGATCAAAGGGTATGAATAATCATGGAATAATAACCTTGAAAACTTTCAAAACACCGTGCAAACCAGGGCAATATTACTATCTCTCCACCGTATATAACTAGGTAATTAAGATCCCTTAGTCAGAAATCACATCTTTGCACTCCCTTCAATGCCTTGGATGTAGTAGATACTCAATAAATTTAAATTAATATGGATGGATGGATGGATGGAATAAACACATTGAAACTTGGAGGGTCTTAAATTGGATCCTCAAAGCTACAGCCAAGACCCTATAATAAGGTGAGAAATAGCATTTGTCTGTGGCTTTCTCAGCCTCCTCTTTATGGACACCTTTATTCCTTTTTGGCACCCGCCTTGCCCCCCACTGCTTTTCCCACTTCCCATGTAATAAAAGTTGCTTTCAAAGGCCCATCCCACACTCCTGCTAGAGAGCTGTAAAGGGCCAGCAGAATGTAACAGTCTGTTCTTCACAGGACCTTTCTAAGGAGACAAAGAAAGAAAAGCTTTTGAATCACAAAACGAATGTTTGATTCTGGAGTTTCTGGCCCAAGTGACCCGGTGCTACCAGCATCTGGGATGACAGCACAGGAAGGCAGGGGTCTCCTGGGGCTTCTGTGGTCTCACGGGTGGGCTTCAGGTGCTAGTTCTGGTGACGGCGGTGCAGTCGGGGTCCAGACTCAGAATTCCTGCAATCCTGACCACTGGTTCCCTGAAGTAAGCCTGTCTGTTTGAGTCTGATTTCACTTGTTTATGTTTTGCACTTTTTTCTTATAGGAAAATATGTAGTTATCTTGGCCATGTTGAGCCTACTGAAATCACAGAATGTTTTCCAGTGCTTTTAATGTCCACCCTGAGAAAGAAAAATTTGTTACTATTCCACCACCCCAGAGAGTTTCTCAAAACCTATTTAAAATATTTCTTATATATAAGCTAACATAGAGAAAAATAAAAGAAGGGAGCAACTAAAAATGCTCATCAATGTCAATTTTCATCTTACTCCAGATTTCTTTTCCTCTGTTTCTGCCTTGATTTGCTGGTGAGGAAAAGCATGGCTTTCTCGTAGAATTTCCAGGTATTTTCTCCATAAAGGCTACGCTCATCTTGCTTGCTGACGCTGATGGACTGTTAGTGGCTGACTGCAGCACTGAATTGATGAACTTGCCAAAGACAAGTGAGAAAAAGCACCGTGACTATTATCGATGTCTGCCATGGGGGCCGAAGGAGAAAAGACTGAATCACATGCATCCATTGTTTTTCCCACTGGGCATTCATTTACTGTTCTCTTAGTAACTTAGTCCAGATTTACAACCCACCCTTGGGAGCCAGCCCACGCACCTTGGGCTCAGAATAGAGAATACAATCAGGTCTAAACTAATCAGTATTTCTCATTCTCTGGATCACAATGATGGGTTTATGGACAGTCAAGTGCCCCAATCAGAGCCGATTAGAGTTTGGCAGGGGATGCCACAACAATGACTCTGACTTTTTTCCTTCAAGATTTCAGCTTGGAAGCATTTTACAATTCCTAGTAACTATCTTGCAATCGTGAAAGAAAAATGGAGTCAACCCAGAAAAACTGGAACCAAAACTCACTGGCTGAGAATGTAATCAACTCGGAGGAAGTGGAACCAAAATTGGCGAGAGTAGCTCTCCCTGGCCACATCATTGAGCCCAAATTAGAGCCAGGCCTGAAGCCATATTTCTGCTTTGCTTAAGCTACTTTGGGTTAGATATTCTATTACTAGCAACCAGAAGAATCCCACCTGATACAGCCATTAAAGCTATTTTCCTCCCATGGCTATAACCTTTGACTAGTAAGTTTTAAAATTAGTTTACCATAAGGAAGACATCAAACAGAAATTGAGGTTAAAGATTTGTTGATAGAATTTTAGGGGTCTTTCTTTCAAACCTGGCATCCCACATGCCAGAGAACTTGCAAGCAGTCCATACAAGATAAATCTAAGCTTCAAGAAGACCTGGGCCTTGTCTTCAGTCCACCCTCCTGGACACCCTCACTCCACTCTGAGAAGTAAGAAGTGCCTGGACAGCACAGGAAGGAACTGTTAAAATACAAGGGTGTCCTTCTGCCAAAGAACTTTTACAGAATCAGCGAATATTTACCAAGCACCTGCCATTTACTAGGCTCCAGTCAGAGGAATGAGTCTACAGAGATGATGACGAAGTATAACCCATGACATCAGGAGTCCATGGGGCAGCACAGGATGCTAACCTATGTTATTAGCCTGGTCAGTGTCCCAGCCATGCCTGCTATAGCCGTTGTGAGAAGCAGTGTGTTCAGATAATCAATCGAGGTTCCACACGTGAAAGGAAAGCATTCACAGGAGTTTTTAAACTTTCAACTCATTTGAGCACACACAGTACTGTGTAAGGAAAGAAATCTCTTCCTTGCCTTTGCATCACCTTGCAAAAGGGAGGGTTCCTTACCTGGTTCAGGTTTGCTTTAGTCTCACCAGTGACTGTTCTTGAAGGTGCCAACATCAGAAGCTTCCTCTGCCCTTCCCTTAAAGACACTGTGAAGACCCTGTATCTTTGTGGTGGCACCATTTAGAGCACCCCCAAGACTATGAGATTGTGGTGGTGATCACTTTGCAGTGTACACAGATGTGAAATTATAATTTTGTACACCCGAAACTTAATAGTGTTATGTGCCCATTTTACCTCAATAAAAAAAGACTAAGAACTAACAGCTTTCTTTAATACCTCTCTCTGCACACTTCTATCTTCTTTCATTGGTTCCCAAATATCTCTCTCTCTCCCAGATCCTTTTCCTGATCACCAGACCTGTAATGACTACTGCACACCTCTACTCGTCCATGAACATGAGCGTTTAAGTACACCATCCCATAAACAGAACTCACTATTTCTACCCCACCCTGCCCTTCCCCATCTCAGTGACTGGACCTCAGTGACTCAGTTGTCTGCTGGGTTGCCCAAGCCAGAAGCTGATTTCATTCTCACCTTCACTCTTCATTCGCCACACCCCATATCCCATCAAACAAGACATCCTGTGAATCTCTTGTCTTCATCCACGTCTTTCCATCACCACAACCACCACTTTGGCTCAATCCACTTCTTAGATTCCTGTTATTCTCCTGACTAGTGTCCCCACCTCCAGTCTACCTGGTCCAGTCCGATCTCCAGTTTTTATAATTTGAAAATATAATCATGTATCCCCCACGTAAAACACTTTAATAAGACCTCATTATCCTTGAAATAAAGTCCTCGGCATTATTCTCCATACCCTTAATTCGCTGACCTTTGCCTACCTTCCTGCTTCACATGATGGCAACTCCCCACTTGAGTCTCCATAACTCATTCTGGTCTAGTTGCACTTCTCCAGATGAAAAATGCCCAATATTGCCTCTGAGATTTTGCACATTCTGGCTCAAATGTTCTCCCATTATCTTCTTCCCAACTCCACATTCCTTCAGCTTCCTGATGATTTTTTCCTGCTTACTCTTCCAGGAAGTCTTCCCTGGCATTCTGCATCTGTACTGGTGTTTCTGGAATGGACTTCCATAGGGTGCTTGACTTCCCTCAACTGTAGCTCAAACCCGCGGAACTGAATTACCTCCTAGAGTTTAAACTCTCTGGGAGTCAGAACCATGATAAGTTTATTGTTGAGTTCGTGATGATGAATATATACATGTTGGTCCAGAACAGGACATTGAGAAAGATCAATCAAATCAGAGAATGAGTTAACAAGGACTCTTAAGTACCAGTGGGTGAAGAACAAACACAGATTAAGCGCAGATCGAGATTTTGATGGCACAGGTCATTGGGCTTGTACGTTTACTCACTAAATATGTGTTACGTACAATTTCCCATTCATGACATTTCTACCCCAATGATCTTGTGGTAAGTGTCAACAAGAGGGTTGGGCTATGGTACTGACAATGATATTCCTTGAAACTAATTATCTGGTATTGCAATAATAATCCCTACAAATCTGCTAACTATAGCTATGAAGTGTGTACAAGAAACCATCTAATTTTTATTGCATATTTATTTATTTTATATTATTGTGTGTATATACCTACACACATATGTGTACATATGTATTCATAAAACATGCCACACCTCTCATGGCATTTGGATGCCCAGCTACAGGTCATCACACGTGTGACCTACTTGGGGCCCGGCCTGCTAGAAGGCAGGTCTGTGCTGTGAGGCCTGGCCCTCTCACCTCCCTCACTCTTTGATCTAAGGTGGACACCAACCCACACTAGCCCAGTGAGGGCTTTTCTCCCAAGAATTGGGAATCTGATGCTAGTATCCCCAGAGCTGAGTCATTTGACATGATCTCTAAATTTCCATGGTGCCTCGCCTTCCCAAAGCCTACCTATTCAACTCTTTCTTAGATCCTACAAGAATATTCAGGGCCATTTAAATAGTTTCTCAACTTTAAGTCATTTCCAATGGCTTCTCGCCAAAGAAACTTCCTAACCAATGCAGCAGAAATATTAATAAAAACCACTGATGATATATTTTTCTTCTTGGCTCAAATTTCTCAAAGGCTACATTCTCTACTATTTCATTTTATGAGTTATAGAATGCCTTATCAGGTAAAAAGGAAATAATTTAATTACATCTTGTTAGAAGTACATATTTCAAGAAGAAACAACTTTATGAAAAAATATTTCTCAACCATTTTTTTAAAGAAAAATACTTTTTACCTTGAAGCCTCGCTTTGATGCTCTGCTCCAGGCCCACACTGTGGGATGTGGTGCAAAAGTACCTGGCCTGAAGGATCTGCAGGATTTCTCATGCCAGGGCAACAACCCTTAATATAGCATCCTTAACCTGTAATCTAGACCTGCGTGCAGGAGACTGTGGTGCAGTTCATCAGTTTCTTACAGGAACAACCAAGTGTATTTTGAATCCTTTCTATATTGGAAAACATGAAAACAAACTCAACTTTATAAGTTAGACTAGGTGTTAAAAATCACAATAGTAAACCAATGAGAAATATTCATAAATACTAAAAGAGTAATGTCTCTATTAATTTATAATTCTGCTATGTATGCTATTCACATTGTTATGTGTTTATGCTAACGGATCTCCTAAGTGTCCTTCAAATTGAATCTTTTTTGCATCATACACAAAATCTCTAATTAGCTGAAGAAAACTGAAATTCCAGATGCTTGAATGAATATTTTTTAAAAGATCCCCCCCAAATAGACCTCCTTCTATTTATTTTTGATTTCTTCTTAATATATATGCATGCAAGAAGAGATGACATTTTATTAGATGTTTTCTTTAATAATTTGTTTTGGTTCAAACACACTTTAGACACTTAGAAAATTATCAGATTTACTGCGCAGCAGAAAATAATAAAAGTCAGGTTATAGTTGTCAACTTTGCACGCTACCATGGTGCTCAGCTCATCCCAGGAACGATTGTGCACGCAGGAAAGGGCAGAAGAACACATCTTTACCACCAGCTCCCAGCCCATCCCACCTCCAGCAAGCCCACCTTTGGGCAGTCCTTATAACTTCTACAGCAAAAGAACTTTTAACAAAACTCCATAGGATTAGCAGTAAAATATACACTAGCCAAAATTCTCATCAAAGGCTTTGCCAGTAGAGTGGGTCTCTTCCTGGATTAACATTGTTAAGAGCCCCACAGAAAGACGGTTTGCCCCAGACTTCCCAAAGGCACAGCTGCTCAAGGTCCCAGCAAACTGAGTCTTGTTCAGAGGACAGCAATGCTGGCTACAAACCATGGTTTCCATTCCATCTTCAAAGTGAGATAGTGCAAGAATGCCAAAAATTCCACAGAGCCTTCTCAAGTAACAATCTTGTCCTTGAGAGAGCCTTGGGATTTTGAGTTGTGGAATTTTCCACCCATTTATTCTTTTGTTTTCCATCTTCTTTGCCTTCAAGTGTCATTTGGCTCCTTAAGTCACAGCTGTAGAAATCACAGGGGTTTTTTTTAATTGGCATAAGATATATACATTATTCATCCATTCAGTTTCATCTGCTAGAAATCCAGTAAAGACACAATTTTACTTTCTAATGAAATATTTTGCTGCTTTTTCCCCATAAAAAAACAAACAAACTGAAAACTCCACCTATGAGATATGTGAGTACAAATCTTCTTACCTCTCTAAGCATATCTGAATTTGACTCCATTAAAATATAGCCCTGCTTTCTGCTGTTATACTTCATAGTATCTGTGTATAAACACATGGCAAGTTCAGTGTCTTGCTATTTTGTGAAGCCTTATGTACCACAAATAATACCAAGAACACACTATGCTTTCTTCCCCTAGCAAATCCTGACTTCGAATGACACTTTGTTTCCATTTGTGTCACATCCTTGACAGAAAGCACGTACATATTGCAAGATTTGTTTTCCTCCAACTATATAAATACAGTGAAGCAGAAAATTCAAGTAGTGATTAGACATCAAGTCATTACCTTTGCCTCTGGGTTATTGATTGAACTAGAAAGCAGGGTTAAGGTCATTATGACCTCACTTAGCAGGCCTTTCTGTGGCTACAGGAAATGACCTGTGCTAAACTCAACACTCACATACCTTTCTACATGACAGATGCCAGTTCTGAATCCAGTTGTGCGTTTGCTACACAGTCGGTTAATTATATGATGTAAGGACAAAACTTTCTCTCCTCCAGGAGAACAATTCAGCACCCCGCTCTATAAAAGGGTTGTGAGAGACACAGAGTAGCAGGGAGCCATGTCCACCTATGGGCCTGTCTTCCACCCGGGTCTCCATGACCGAAGAATTAAATCTTTGAACAGTAACCTTCAACCACTAATAAAAACATGGAGCAAAAAGAGAGGTGAGAATCAAGCGCTCTGTCAGAAGATAAAAGTTACAGTATAAAAGAGACAGCCATGGCTTTATAAGCAAAATACAACTTTCTCAACATCTCACAGCCACCTCATTAACCAATGCTCTCTCATCATCAGTGATCGTGATTATTCAGAGTGAGAAGCAAAACATGGACGAATCTGTCTGCAGGCAAGTGGAGACAAGGCAGAATGAAGGACGAGCTGGGCGTGTGAGGAAAACGGTGCAGGGAACATACTTCAGGGCTTAATTCACAAGGAAGAAAACGCATGGCTCGGCAGGAATTTAACCCCTTGTAGTTGGAATGTCAAATACACATGTAAATAATTACTTCTATTCCTTTCAGGATCAATGCACTCCAGACGGTTTGAACTCTCCTTTTGCTTTAATACTTGGGTTGATTTCAAAGCTTGGTAAGGCACTTCATAAAAGTCTTTCACATATAAAAAGGTGCAACTTTAACATCTTGAACTGACTCTAAATCGAGGAAATTGTCATTTGTGGTGATTTAGTTCTGAGCCACACTGAAGTGCACCATTGAACTCACAGCTAGGCATCTCAAATGACAGGTGGAGAGAGTTTCTGGGATGTCACTCTTCAGGGGTGGCAAGGAGGGTGGCCCTGCAGTAGCTGATGTTGCAAAAGACCTTAAATTCAAATAACACAGTGCACCCAGAACACACTCCCACTGTGTCACGCAAGTGACAGATCTCTTGTGTTATTATCTCTTTTACGGAGGCTCAGACGCAAACCTTGACGTTTACTTGGTGACTTCACCTTCCAGCTTCCCCATTTCCGGTTGCCCTTGTGTTCAGTTTTACCTGTTTTGTCTCTATAAACATGTTTGGGCAATGGAAAGAACTGTGGGATTTTGGACTTTATATTCATTCGTAGTGCATTTTGTGTTACCTTGGAGGAAAGGATTTGCTAAAATGAATATTTTAACAAGTGGGAGAGGGGAGAAAAGGGGTGGTTATTTTCTTTCCTTCTTTTTTTTCCCCAAGTTAAAATGTTTTAAATGGCTTATAAATAAAAGTAATAATGTTACATGACTTCCGTTTATCACTAGAAATAGGGTAAGGTGGAGCAGAAAAAAGTAGAACAGGATACGATTGGACAGCCTGGGTCCAAAGAGCATAAGGTGGGATGTAAGAGGATGTGACAGGCCGCTAGACATGTGTGACTAGAGCAAACCTGCAAGATCACTGGTTCAATCGATAGTTTTAGAACTGAGAAACTGAGCTTCAAAGAGGGGAGGATCTTCGCCCAAAGACAAAGAATTGAGTAGCTAGGGTTGCTATGTGAAAATAATCATTGTAAACATTTTTAGTAAGAAACACAAAAATGCAAATTTCACAGACTGGATTTTTCTAGCTGTGTCACCTGGAACAAGTAACTGCACCGCCCTGTGCCCTGGCTTCATCATCTGTAAAACAGATAATAATGGTGCCCACCTCACAGGCTTGCCAGGAAAATCAAATCAGTTAACATGTGTGAAGCGTCTTCAAATAGTAAGCATTTGATGAGCATCCACATTATTACTCTTACTATTATTATTGCCACTGGTATTGATACTTACGTCTGGCTCTTCTGGAGGAAGTGAGGTTCTGTGATGAACTGGAACTCAATCCACTACGGAGCAGCCTGTCCCAGAGGCATGATGGCAACGTTTAAGGAACACTGGGCCTCAGCCACGCTCCAGTTGAGAGCAGTACAAAGGTGGGAGGGGTGATGGGAAGTCTTATCTCCAGGAGTAACAGTCACTTACATGTACACAAAAACACTTAGGTAATAACATTCAGGTAGCACAGAAACCCCAAGAATAGAACTGAAAACCCAGATTTTCTTAAGTCCCAGTTATGATTTTTAGTAACCATGACCAAGCCACTTCCTCCTACTTGGTGGTTTCATACCTGGTGTTAATAACAGTCTTCACTTGTAAAGGCTGAATGTATTTGAAAGCATTTTATGGCTTATAAATTTTACAGACAATTACATATTTTAAAAAGCACAGTGTATTACAATGCATAAAATATTTCCCTTATTTTGAAGCCATGGGGGGGTGAGGAGACATTCCTGCTAGTCTTCCAAGGATTTAGCACTGACCATGAAAATAAAATATGTAGTCAGAATAGTTATGAGAAATGTGTTCAAAAGAAAAAGCAATGAGCTGGGAAGCTGGGCGGGTTGGGGTATAGCCCCAGCTTTCCTGTGGGTACATCATAAAGCTCCAGGCAAATCCCTAGACTTCCTGGCATGCAGTTTCCTTTTCTGTGAAACACAGGCTGCATTGGATGATCTCTCCCTCTCTCATTGTATGATTCTAAATGCCATACATATGTTTGCATGAAACCATGAGTCACTAAAACCTGGTGTATTTCAGAAAATTATTTAATAAACAAAATATCTCATAAGCAGTTCAAGAGATCTTGGAACTCACTCCCAATACATTGCATAATCATTTCTGGGCAAGGACTTCAAACCCAGGAAGGACGTCTTAGAATTGAGCTTCTTTTTCACCACCATTTGCCACTCACAGAACACGGGCCATCCAGACTGTCAGTTCACATGTTCACACTCACTCTGCCCTCAGGGCTCGGAGCACTTGCATGTCTCTCATTTGTCTGGGGGCAGGGAGGTACTTAACAGTTCGGAAATGGTATTGCCTCTTTCAAAATGAAAACAAAAGCCTAAGAGCACATTTTATTCCTACGCCATTTTCAATAACTCAAAATGCTTTGATAACAGTTTTGGCTTTGCTTCTTCTCTTTGTCATTTCTAATTTGATCAATGTACAAACTTGGTTATGGAGGCTGGACCCAGGAATTATTGTGCCTAATTTACAAGTAAATACCTTGGGGGCAAAGAAATAAAATAATATACTTCTCACTTAAGAGCTGATGGTCCTCACTCTTGGATCTCTTGACTCTGAAATGAAACCTGACCTAGACAAGGAGTGACCTGTAGTCCACCTGCCGGCAGTTCAACCCCTGGACACAGTGACCGGCTCTGTCCCTCCAAGAGCAAAGGCTGTCCTCCCACCCACTGCCCGAGTCACTGTCTAGGACCCCGGACAGGCCTGAGTAGTGCTCCGAATGCCTTAGCCCTTTAAGAGGACTTCCATGGAGAAATAAAATTCTCAGATAGAAACAATGGACTTATTGATGACCAAGTTAGACCCTGCTTCCCATGCCTTGTGGTTTCTCCCCATAAATGTTTTTCCCGTAATTCAGTGGCTGCTTTGGGAGAGCTCTCCAGAACTCTTTCATCAGGGTTATTTTTCTCATCCCAAGATTTTGGCCAACTCTCTCTGTTTATTTTTTAAAAAGGGAAGGGGTGGATCATGTCCTAGAGAGAAAACTCCTACAAGGTCCTAAACATTTTATAACCATGGGGATAATTAGGAGGATTTGAGAATTATACCCCTCTCTGTTAACTGACTGAGGAGCAGACCAACTTCAAACAACAAAGACAAGATTCTGAAAACAAAGCTTAATTTTATGTAACTCACTTTCCAGCCCCTGTGGTAGAAACAAGTCTGTGATATGTTTGAAGTGCCTGCCCTGGGCTTGGTTGGCGACTGGAATCCAGCAGAGCCAGAGGGCTGGAAATGAAAGATTACACAGAGATTAGCTCCACAAGAAACATGCTTATGTTTGCATAGCATTCATGTTTCCACCTTTATAATGTGGAAATTAATTGCATTTATTCCCCAAACTGAGTGGCAGAGACAGCTACCCATTGTGGGACTTATGGCTGCATTGCTCCTTTTGCTGGTTCTATGAGAGGAGTGTCCTTGCTTTCCTTTTGGGCAAGGAAGCAAAATAAACACAGCTCCAAATCTCTGACTCATTTTCTACTTGTGATAGAAGATACTGGCGGCCATCTGCATCATTTCACAGAATTCAGGTCCACAAATATTGAGAACCTATTGTGGGCAAGGCACCCTGTTAGGTGCTTCAGGGGACCTCAACCTGAGCAAGACACAGCCCCATTTCTTAAAAGGTCAAACCAAGTAAGTGATTGCTGGGAAGGGATTTGGGAAGACTGGGCACAGGGAGAGATGACAGGTCTTCAAATTCCCATTTAGAATCAAAGGGATTATAGTAAAACATGTACCTAGTGATCAAACACAGCATAGATATTAGACTAGGGGTCATATTTCCCTTGACCTTTCCCTGCATCCCATTCTGGTATTTAAAATAATTTTTTTAATGAATGGAAAGAGAGATATTTTGAAGGTTCCAAAAAGGGATAGCTCTTTTTTTAAGGTTTTATTTATTTATTTTCAGAGAGGGGAAGGGAGAGAGAAAGAGAGGGAGAGAAACATCAATGTGTGGTTGCCTCTTACACACCTGCTACTGGGGACCTGGCCTGCAACCCAGGCATGTGTCCTAGACTAGGAATTGAACCAGTGACCCTTTGGTTCGCAGGCCAGTGCTCAATCCACCGAGCCACACCAGTCAGGGCAAGGGATAGTTCTTAAATTAAAGGAATAAAGATGGTTTCATGAAGAAAGTAGCATTGAAAATGAGTCCAAAATGTTGAATGGATTTTTAATAAACGAGTAAAATAATAACAAAAATCTATGTAATACACAATTTAAAATGGCACTATAATATATATCACCTTACTTCTTAAAACAAAAAGAGGAAGTTCTCTCCAGGTAGGAAGTGCACCATGAGCAAAGGCAAAGACTGGAAGCATCAGACATTTGTAGGAACTAGCAAATACTTTTTCATGAGTGCAACAAAACTTAAGTGAGCACTTGCTACATTCCAGAATTATACGTGAATTATAGGTGCTGCTAGGATTCTGGGAATACAGATGCCTCTCTTTAAGTGTCATGGAGCTTGAAGGAGAGGCAGGCATAGTTGGCTCAGAAGCTATATGCCAGGTGCAAGCAGGAAATAAAGCTGGGAGTCTATGCCAGGACCATGTTAAGAGTGTCTTTAAAACTAGGTTAGTGTACAGTCGTTAACCTAGTGACAATAGAGGATTATTAAAGATTTTGGGCTGAGGATGTATAATCTTGTTTAAATACATGATTCATTTTGAGCAGATGAATAGGATTTATTCAATGCAAGAAGAAATGAGGAAGAAAAACTGCCTAGGAGTCAAATGCAAAAGGCCCAGGCAAGAGATAATAGGGCTCTAACTATGTTGACACTAAAGAGAATTAAAGAGAATGGAAAGAAAATGTCTGATACAGGCTGGCTGAGCTGGGGTGCCAGCAGGATGTGGGGGGGCGGGTATTTAGCCTGTAGTTAACCTTTGGGTCTGGGGTATTCATTTTGGGTGCTGTCCACAAGAGGGAGATCGTTAAGGCCACGAGACTAAAATAGATGAGACAGCAAGCATAGGTATAGAAGGAGGAAGAAGAAAACACTCCTGGAGGATATTTACATTTACACGGTAGAAGCAGAGAAAGAATATGTGAAGACAGAAGAAATGAAAAAAGAGTTGAGGGTCAAGATAGCACAGTGCCAGGGAACCCAGAGAAGGAGACTGTTTAAAGGAGGAGGCATCAACCGTCAGATGCTAAGCAGAAGCCTGGAGTTGCAGGCCAAGATGAGATTAGCCATTGGAGCTAGTGCTGAAGGGATCACTGGCTGCTGCTGAAAAGAAACTTCAGGAAGGTCGAAAACGGAAAAGTCGTCACTTAAGAAAGTACAGGGTGAGCAAGAGCACAGCCAGGAAGTAGACTGCAGGGAGTTTAATGGTGGGATGTAAGATGAAGATGTACATGAATAGGGAAGGACTGACTAGGAAGGGGAGGAAGGAATCAGGTTTGCAGATAGAGGGGTTAACTTGGCAGGGAGAAGGGTGCATGCTCCTCAAAGACAAGTTCAAAAGAAGAAAGTGTTGGGGCTGAGGGTGAAAATACAAAGGCCCTCTCCCCAACCCTCTGGCCCATGCCTATGGGCACAATTACCACCTCTCCTGCAGATAACACACATTTCTATCTCCTGCCCTAACCTCATCCTGCGCTCCTCAGCTATATATAAAACAATCTGCCTGGCCAGGTGACTTGGTTGTACGTTGTTCAGTGCACCAAAAGGTTGTAGGTTTGAGTACTGGTCTGGGCACATACCTAGATTGTAGTTCAATACCTCATTGGGGTGTGTAAGGGAGGCAACCATTGTTGTTTTTCTCTCTTTCTCTCTCCGACTTCCTCTCTCTCTCTGAAATCAATAAACTATCCTCCAATGAGGATTTTTTTAAAAATCCAGTTCCACCTGGGTGTCAGGAAAGGATATCATTATCCACCAAATTGCTGAGTTCATCAAGTTAGGGCTTAGCTCAGCAGCTCCACTGCTCTCAAACCTCCCACCCCCACCTGCACCAAAGGGTTTTAATTCACCAAAATCTGCCTTTGCCCCCTTCTAAGCTTTGTGCTATAGATAGAGTGACCATTTTAAAATTCAAGTCTGATCGTGGCCACCCCTGTTTAGTGGCTTCTTATTGGGTAGGACCAAAGTCTGACATGACTGTCCAGGCCCTGCGTGGCCTGGCCCTGTGCCCTTCCAGACTCCTTCATACTCTCTGCCCATCGGCAACCCCAGACACCCTGCCCTCCCTTCACTTCCTTAGATACTTCCAACTCTCTTCCACTTCTGTGCTTTGCACATGCTGTTCTACCTACCCAGTACACTTTTCCCTCCATTCTCCTCACTTGGTTAACTTCTGTTTCAGACAAGATGGGAGATATCTGAGTGGTTAGGACTTCAGGCTTTGGGATCAAACTGAAGTCCAATCCCCATGCCTCTCCTCACCAGCTAGATGATGCTAAACAACCTACTGTCTTCAAACCTAAGCTTTTTCTCAACTGTATGTTAACATGAGTCCATACCTTGCAGATAATTCATATAAAGCACTAAAATCTGGGCTTGGCACATAACAGCCATCCAGTAAATGTCAGCTATTTTTCACTATTCTTTTTCCAACCTTGGGCCGATCATCCCCTCCTGGAGAAGGCCTCCCTGACAGGTCACTGGCCCTCCATCTACTCTCAGCCCCTTTGCACCCTCCTTCCTTGAACCCATCACAGATTTAATTTTGCATTTCTTACAAGATTTTTAGATTATGTCTGTCTTCTTCACCAGGTTGAAGTTTCCTTGAGAGCAGGACTTTGCCTGCTTTGCTCATGCTGATAGCCCAACCCCTAGCACAGTGCCTGGCACAGAGGAGACAAATCTGTCCAATGAATGAGTGAACGAGGAAACAGGGGCAGCCCAGCTGTGGTTAGGGTACAATAAGGATTAGCATTATCAGCTTGTCTTCTATGCGATCACCCAGTATTTTGTCATTTAGCCATTTCATTGTTGCTTTAGTGGGGGCCAGATTACCAGTCTCATCCATGAATACTGGTAAACTGTTATTAACAATACTCATTTTTCATACACTAGGTGAATCTGGGGTAAAATTTGTAGTAATGCAGGCCTCATTGACCAAGGCCATTTGGTAATCCCTAGTTGAGGCTGACGAAGGTGATGACAGCAATGATGGCTTAAAATTAACATGGCTTATGAAAATTAGTACATTAAGTCCTAGAACACAGTAGACTAGTAAGTGGGAAGTACAGAACAGAAATCTTGAAGGTCATCTCATGTGTCAAATGAGAAACATTGAGAAAGGGCCATCTCCCTTGCCCCCTTTAGCCCGTCTTAATTCTGTGTCATAGATGCACACACAGATGCCTAACTGGACCTCTCACCAAGATGTGACCTTCCATAGCCTTCGGACCATGAACTGTGACCTCAGGGCCCATGGGGCAGGCCACGTGGTTCTGCATGCTCCCTTCCCACCATGTCACCTTCCCCGGGGTCTCTCTCTCTCCACTGAATCAGCTCACATTTTGTTCTAGAGAATGTTTTTGGAATAATTCTCTTGGTGTCTGCTAATGGGAAAATACTTAATCATGGGAAATCCTATATAATCCTGGGCTAATATGAGGTGAAAGATCCCAATAATTCCCTAAGATTGTCTTACCAAGGAAAGGTAAACCCTTTCATTAAAACCTCCCTTTGCTTCTAATAACAGAATGTTCTTTCCCTTGGTGGATCAGCTTGGCAGCTTTGGGATGACCAGGTGAACCACAGGTTCTGCATTGTCACTAGTACTTATACTACCACCAAGGGCCTTTCTTTTATTAGGAGAGGTAGCAAACCACAAGGCCCTCAGTGCCATCCCTTTGTTGGTTACTCAATTCAGCAGTAGTTTCGATGCCTGGAAGTTAAAATCTAAGCGCTTTCTACACTTACAGAACTTGGAAGGGGAACTGAAGTCATCTTAGCACTCAGAGATTGTGGTGGGTTCCTCAGTCTCCTGCGACTGCTCATCTTAGGAGGTTTATTTGGCCTCCGGCAGATTGCTGTCTTAGTTGAAACAATAAAAGTACGATTGGCCACAATATGATAATGTTGAGAACAGCAGTGAAAACATTTGCATCCAGAACTTAGTGAATCTTTTTGAAGAAATCTATTACTGCCTGGCAATTCTATTATAAAAGTACATTAAGATTTCAAAATGCAAAGTGGCTAAGAAAAAAAGGCTTATGTAACATTAGAAGGAAAAGACTGATTGTAAACTTATATCTGTGCT